TCTGAAATGTTGTGAACTTTGGCAACGCGAACTGCGGCGTTGAAACTGTAGGTAACAAACAAAACGAGTTAAAAACTCCATTTTGCTTTTTTCTATATAGATAGCTTTTTTGATACAATTTTTTATATCGTTTTTCCTCGGAATGTTCTAGTGGTTCCCGGTTCCAAGTTTTTGTGAGACGAAAATTCGAAGCTCAGGGAAGATAGCGTGCAGAATTTCATCCCCTGGTGTTTGTTCTAAAACTATAACTTCACACCTATGCATTCAATTGGGAGGACTTTGAAACCACAGACTTCTCGCTTCCTCCGATTTTCGTCCACAGGCGAAGTTCCATGTGCTTCTTTGATAACCACTAATCGATTCTCGCAAGATGTTCGTAGCAGGATCAATCGTCGCGTTCGCAATTTCCAAAAAGTTTTGCGACCCCGGCCACCACCCTCGTCATTCATGGCTGCTTCAACAGTATCTGATCCTGAGATCCGTCAAGATTTTTCCCTGTGGCAGTTGACCTTGCCCATCCCAATACGACCCCCTTCCCGGAATCACAAATGCCACCTCTCGTTCTAATAGTGCAAATAGACGATTGATCATGGTCCGTAGACCTTATCTGCACTGCTCAGATGATTCCTTTTCAATTTATTCACTTTTTTCAGCGTCATCGATGAGGACTCCGTGATGCGAAGACGTACCGAGACAAAGCAGTTGGCAGATTTCCAAGCTAATGTCACTTGTGATGAGGTACGTGGTCCCTTTGACAACATCTTCACTTCATTTTGTTGATTTTCAAAATTTTTCGAAGAATTTGTTCAAGATGTGACCTGACCAGTCTTGAGGGTGCATGGCATCTATTTAATGTTGCCATCATTATCTGAACAATCACAGCCTAGGGAGTAAGGTTTTTGGATCGAAATTTCCAGTACATATAATTTAGCTGAAGTTCTGACTGTTTAAAGCCCCGTATTTTAACGAAAAATGCAGAACTTTTCAATTTTGCTGCAATGAAAGGGAATAAAGGGGATAAATGACACTTTAGTCGAGGCCTTTGTGGCAGGCTGGGTCTCATACTCGAAGCCTCAAATGGTTCTTAATATTGAGCTACAGAAAAAGTCACGAGAGTTATTCTAGAAGAATTCCAAAAGTCTTCAAAGG